CATTCCCACACATTCACATCAGGAGCCATTTGGTGTTCAGTATCTTGCTCAAGGACACTTGGACATGCAGCGGGAGGAATCGGGGGTTTACAGTGGTTTGTTTATGTGGTAGTAAACTGATTTTGGACTGTTGGTCAGGCAAAACAACACTTCTGAAGACAAACAGTTCAGAAAATAAGCAGCAGAAGAACCGATAATGGAAATATTAGTGAGTTGCAGCCGTACGTGTGACACTGATGGACAGTCAGGTTCAGCTGCTGATGTGTTGATGAAGTGCTGAAGTATGTTCAGTCTCAACTGAAGCCTTATTGTGTGTGCTGAAATACTTTGAACACGTATTGTACTAACGTGACATTGGTGGTATTTGCCTCTAAGGCAGAGAGGTGAGGGCTCATAGGAAGTTTAAATGGTTGGGTAGCCTCGTGGAACCAGTTGCATTCCCAGTGTCTGAGCGTTTTCTGAGAACTGCACCATATATCCAGAGACATCCGACTACCTTTCAAGGCTCCGTTGGGTCAGTATTGCAGAGGCAGTCAGCTTGTTTTGTAGTTTTGTGCTGGAGGAAAAGTTTACAGTGTACAAATATATAAACCCAGTACGTAGAGGTTAGAATCTGATTTCTTAAACGCCTGAGGAAGGTATCACAGGTTCACTCTCTTTAATTTCCGCGTTTTAAATTTGGTTGAACACAGCATGGTTTCTGCTCAGTGTAAATCCCAAGTTCATAACCAAACTCGATGGACTATTGGCTCATTTCTGATCTCTGTATGAAAGTGTGTGACTTGAGCTTCCAGGTGTCCTGTGTGGCTCTGAGGCGTTCAGGTGGTGGGTACAGATGTGTTAGTGTAGCTGTTAAAATGACAACCTGCCAGACGAGTCTGACACATGTAACTTAAATGTTTATTGTTAACCGGATTGACTGTGTTTTGTTGACTTCCTTTATCATCATTAAGTGCAGGTTATGATAATACTCGCTGCAGTTCCTTTGTCCTAGCTTAGCTGTCTTGAGCTTTACAGATTGTTCACACAAGCGTTTATTTATATTGCTCCTCGTTATTTCTATTTCTATATATTTTCTGTTAAAAGCGATTGGGTTTTATGTATAATGTCTCAGTTTTTCGCAGCATACTCAGTGCAGTGAAGCACTCTTCAGTGTGTGTTGAACAGGGTGGTGGGTTACTGTTTTAACTGAAGATGAAAAAGTGTCTTTGATTTTTGGGGAATTGCAAAGGGTGGATCAAACTGATTGATAGGGACTACAGAGTGATTCACCGGGGAGTTGGAAGCACGAAGGTATGCGTAAATGCACAAACCTACAGATTGACAGACTCGTACTGTAGGTACTCAGTCTCTCAGGTAAAGTGGTACAGTGTACAGTGTGCTGGAATTTATTTTGCAGTCATGTTATGCTGGAAATACTGCGCGTTAAATCTCTCTGGAAGCTTTGACTCATGGGAAACCCCAAAGTCCTGCAATGCAGATCTTTGTGGGTGACCATGGGAATCCTAATGCTAATGTTTTAAAGGCGTTCGGTGCATAATATGTAACACAAGTATTGAATCCAGGTATCAAACCTTTCCCTCTGAAATAAAACATTTTATAACTTGCACTAAACAAAAAAAGCTAAACTGAGAACAGTTCCTTAGAGCTTAAAATAATCACTGAAGTGGGCAGAGGCTGCTGGTTGACTCACACCCTTAAGGCAAAACCCAACATCTTCTTTGGTTTGTGGGTGATCGCATTAAAGGTCCAGTGTGTAACATTTAGGAGGATCTATTGTCAGGATTATATAATATTCAGATATATGTTTTCATTAGTGTATAAACACCTGAAAATAAGAATCGTTGGAATGAGCCGGTCCTCTTCTATGGAGTCCGCCACGTCGAACCGCTATGTTTCTACAGTAGCCCAGAATGGACAAACCAAACACTGGCTGTGGAGTTTGTCCTACATGCGCCAAAGCCAGTTCTCATTACCAGATACCAGCAGTGTCCGACACACTGCTCCTTTAACGTAAAAAGACAGAGACACGTACAGAAACCATCCATATATGTTGATAATGGAGATTAATTCCACAGCCTGGCCCTACGAGATCACACCACAGACGAGGGTTTAACTTGTTGTACTCGTGGAGGCTTTCAATGAGTTCCAGTAATGTTTTGGAGAGGCATGAAATTGAATGAATTCAATTGTACTGGCTTTGGTCTCGTCCACCTCAATATCACTGCATGAAACCAACCCCACTGGCAATAGTGCTACTGTACCCACGTTTCAAAAAGCGCTTCAGATGCAGTGTGGAGCTGTGTGAGCCGGCTCTGTTCAGGTTAATGTAAAAAGTGTTTCAACATTTCTGTGCTGTGTCATCGCAGCCGGAAACCAACCCCAGTAGCAACCAACGTTTCCACTAAAAACCTCAATGAAAGCTCAAAGTGGCTCAGTGGAAGCTCAAAGTGGTAGCCATTGTAGGAATCCCCCCTCTGACACATTTATCCCACTTTTGTCCGGCATTAGTGTCGGTAACAATTCTCTCTTGGTCTGTCCTGAGGGGGAGAAACACTGAGAACACTAAAAAACAGGTTATTTTCATTATATAAAGCTGATACTCTTTGCACTGTAGTATTTCAGCTGCATACAGTACAGCCAACAGAGGTTAGCCTGGCGCTCGTAGCACTACTACTATTCTTAAAAGTCAGATTTCTATTGAATCTGTTTCTGTGTTGTGATCCCTGCTGCTGGTATCAAGGTTGTCCAGTGACTAGTCATCACTTGACTGTTGAACTGCAAATAAGTGAAAATGTTTCAATGTTGAATCACAGGCTGAATTTGCGCTTTGTTGCCACTCAATTAACATGGCTTGAATTACTTTATTTCCTCCTATTTTTGTGGAAAGTTTCCAGCATGTGGAGATCTGTGGTGGTGATGTGTACTGCGTGTTCCTGCTTTTTGTTGTTTTAGAAGATCTGGTTGTCAGAAGGCCATTGTGACCTGTTGATAGAAAACCACCCTCCCTTCTCAGTTTCCCATGTCAGGACGGGAATCAGGAACAGACTGATTATGTCCATCTCAATAAAGCGTCAGTGGACATTGACGGCCTTGTTGAGCGTAAAAACACTTGCGACATCTTTGAGCGGGTGCTTTTCTCTCCGTTACACCTTCTAAATGCATATTAGAGCAGGATTAAATGCCAAAATAAATCAAATTTTCAAATGCAAGTCCCGGTCAACAACAAGGCAGATACATTTGAAAGAGCACTGTCCGTATCAAACGGGTTTCCATCCACACCAGTATTTCCTTATCCTTTCCTACAGGTGCTCTCAAATTGAATACAAAGCATATTTTGTTCTTTATTATTTATTTTATTTATGTGTGTGTGTGTGTGTGTGTGTGTGTGTGTGTGTTTCTGTTTTCAGAACACAAAGAGCCACAAGCCAAAACACAGCAATAAAGTTCAAATTTCAATTACATTTTATTTGTATCACACCAAATTATAACAGTTATCTCAGGGCTTTTTTTTATATGAAGCAGGTGTAGACCGTATACCGTACCCCCTTATACAATTATTTACAGAGACTCAACAGTTTCCACCGTGAGCAAGCATTCAGCGGCAGCGGCAAGGAAAAACGTCCTCTTAAGAGGCAGTAACCTTGAGCAGACCCGGGAGCGAGGTGGGCGGCCGTCTGACCTCGACCGCTTGGATTTGGAGAGAGAGAGAAAGGGGAGGTAGATAGAGAGAGAAGGCGAGAGAGACAGAGATGCAAAGCAACAATAATAGTAGCAATATAAACTATAACAATGATAGAATTTAAAAATTATAATATTAACCACAATCCATGGGAACCTGCAAGAATGAGAAAACTAAAAAAAACCATTGGAAGAAGTGAAGTTAGTAACATGTGTTAATGGGATATGAATGTGTACAGATTGGAGAGGGAGAGGAGGACAGAGGAGACAGAGGAGCTCAGTGCATCATGGGAAGTCCACCAGCAGTATAGGCCTATAGTATAATAGCATAACTGAGGAATGGCCAGCCCTGAACTCTAAGCTTTATCAAAGAGCAACATCTTCAGCCTGCTCTTAAATGTGGAGAGGTGTCTGCCTCCCGACAGCGGCTGAAGTTGCTTTTAATACTACGAGAGCTGCTGGAGGTTTGACCTTCTATCTGTTGTTTCCCTCCAGACCTTCTTCTTTTTCTCTTTTCGTTCTTGAAGTGGAGTCATACGGCTCTCTGATGAGTGCACTTTTTTTTTTGTTGCTTAAACTGAAGAAGTATAAACTTGCCTTCAGTCTGAACACACCTTAAAAGTTCTCCATTAACAGTCAAACAATACAAAAATAGAAACAGTGAAATGGCTTCTCATCCACCTCCTCTTTCAGCTGGCAAATAAAGCCTCTCAGTGACCAACAGCAGACGACTGTAGTTGTTCTTGGATGCTTCCAGGATTAACTGGAATGTGCAAAAAGGTTATTGATGGAGAACATTTGGCCAAGCAAACGGTCTCCTAATACGGGGTACAAAGATTAGCTGTTTTGAATAAATGATAGACGTGATAGAAATGAGGAAAATGCAAGGATAATCCCTGTTGGGATTTCAATACTTCCTACGTACTGGGGGCAGCAGTAGCTCAGTTCAAAGGGTGGTTGGTTGAAGTCCAGCACAGACCACAATACGGAGGGTAGCTGTAGAGGTGCCAGTTCACCTGCAATGTGGCAGCCCATCACTCTCACATCTCTCCCCTCGACTGCGGGTCCATGGGTCGTGTGTGTGCGTAAACTTTAAAAAATGGAATTTCTTCTTAGTATTTGTCACATTTTGGATTTGCTCTTTGCAGTCTGAAATAGGCCCAGCATAATTATATAGGCTGAATCACCTTCACTTTGTTTTTAGCCTTCAGCTTCATGAAACTTTACTCAAAGCTGCATTGTTGGACGCCATAGTGTGTTTACAGTGTTTCGTGTGCATTTCTTGAAGTAATACGAATGATGTCCTCTTGTGTTAACAGATGCAGTGACGGGATAGAAGATGAAAATACACAAGAAGGACAAGCAGCAGGTTTGTATTGCACACACACACACACACACACACACACACACACACACACACACACACACACACACAATATATAAGCGGACATCAGAAAAGTAGGTCATTTATAAAATCCTCTATACACTCAGCAGCTTGGATACTAAATAAAACATGATTTTTAAGCTTCAATCTCGGGTGTGTTTAGTGTGTAATGTTTTAGGACATATTCACCAGCCCTTTAATACAATAACACAGTTTAACCCCAGATCCTGGGGTGCTCTGTGTTGCTGTTCAGACACATGAATGGAAGCTCCTCTAATATAGGACACTGGGAAATGACAAATGCTGTCTAGCCAGTATTTTCAATGGAGAGAGCGGCTGCACTCTCCTGGGCATTGACAGGAGGCACAAGTTATGGCGACAGGAGTTTTATTGTACAGAATAGTGGCGACAAAGTTAATTTGTGCCTCTCTGATTTACATAGTTTTGTAATTTTGTCCACTGATTGAAGTAAATAATCTCAAGCATGGCAGGAAATATGGACACTGGGTTCACATTCTGATGTCGTTTGTCTCTGTTGGATTATGTGCTGCTCTTCATCCTGGGTACTACCTCACACAAACTTTTGGCTCTTCCTGTGCATTTTGATTTGACAACACCATAACTCCACCTTAACACTGTAGTATGTTATAGTACTTAAGTCCTTTAGAACTAGAACTACATACTCTTTGGCTAGAAACAACTTGAAACGATAAAAAAGACAAATAGGATGGGTGCTGGATCAAAAAAAATATCTAGCAGATTAGACACAGATCGGCACACCAAGTAGCTCCTGTGAAGGATTTTGTATTGCGAGCGATGGTTCATCAGCCTTCATCTGTCAGGAACACTCCTGTATCAAAGCACCTGTATTAGGAAAAGACAGGTCTCATAGAACAGTGGTTGGCAGCCTTTTAGAGTTGAGACCCCCCCAGAATGATCAGGTTGGTGATGATTGCTTTGCCCACAGACAGAACAACTAATTCATCTTTTTAGATTTATTGAAATAATGGCATCGGCCTGTCTGCTTGGGCCTAAAAGAACAATAATTGCTAGAAATGCAGTCTGAGGTCACTGGGCCTGTTAACAGAGTATATAGCCTACAGTGTACTGTGTTTCAACGGGGGTTGAATGTCATTAAAGGGATGACATCGCTGAGAGCTGCTTCCTGTCACTCATTCAGCACTGCTTGCCACAGTATGTTATTTTCTGTTATTCTACAGTAAGTATTTGGCGACCTCATGAAATTATCTGGTGACCCTCTTGGGGGCCCTGACCACCAGGTTAAGAACCACTCTCACAGACGATTGTGGTGTGGTTGGAAATCCATTCAGAAATCTCAATGCTTAAGTTAAAGAATTTCTGGCTGTGTCTTAAATCAATCCCTATTTGAGTGCACTGTTCACTTCCTCTTTCTATATTTTTATTTGATTTGAGTAATTCATGTAATGGAGCAATACATAGCATAGGTGTGCTTTTTGTTGAAAGTTCAACATTGCTTAGCTTATCTTCGATGGACCTTTGAGTTGAATTATGTGACAACTCGTCTGTCAGTCAAGATGTACATTATACATTTTTTCCAATGTTTTCAATATCACCTAAAAAGGTGACAGTTTCACATAAAATGAATTGTATTCGTTCCTCCAAGTCCATAACAGTACAGAAAGTCTTCAGATAGAAAGACGTACTGTATGTCTGAAGATATTCAATCATCTGCTCTCAGTCTCTGTTGCTCCAGAGCCTTGCTCCTCCCTCACAGCCGACAGAGGGTGCATAAATCGTCTGAAAAGCTTCTGTTTCGCTTCCAGGCGTCCTCGAACCTTCTTGCTCACGGTATCATAGAATTTTCCGTGTCCGAGGTATTTTAGTATTCTTTATTGCATTTCCATGACGGCTTGCTGTTTGTAATATTTATGAGTCAGGCTGAGCAGAGTGATGAGTCAGAGTTTTTCTAAGTGTGAGGTGACACAGCAGTCTCTCGGCTGAGCACGAGGCCTCCATACTGCAGTGATAGTGGGCTAGCACCCTCATGACAGGAGAACATGATCATTCACTGCTTCTCATATTATTATTTGGTGCTTTTTAAAAAACTCCATTATTTAATTCTTCCTGTTGTATTTGCTTCTTGGTTTTGGAAGACACAAACTGTTTCTTATCAACACAACTCTAGTGATATAATCTGTAATATTCAAATGTAAAGGAAAAAACCAATATAACCAAGAGTAAGATAAGGAAGGTCTGTGAAGACCTTAAAATCTCCACCCTTCGTTTCTTCAGCAGGAATGAATAAAACCCACAAAGAACCTCCCGAAGGATGTTTTTCTAATGCACAATCTGTCTTAACAAACGGCACTTTTGTACCAATGGAGCACATGATTTTCTTTTTATTTTATTTGTAGGTCTGGTGCATTACTTGACCGACTTTTACACTTGTGACTGTTTTTACTTCATTAATTTCATGTATTGAAATTTAACAGTTTTTACCAAGTTTGAAAGTTCAGCGTGGTGCTCCCAAGTACCACGATGAGTTGGGTTACGCGATAAGCTTCCAAACTCTGACCAGTGTTGCTGCAGCTCTCAGCTCAGCAGTGTGATGTGGAGCAGAGACCACCTCAAATGTAAAATCCAGCAATAGTCAGATTCTTGACAAATTGAATGTCTACAAGCAACAGGGGTGCCATCTGGTAGCGTTCTGTGATTCTGTCATACCTGCCAAAGAGGTACCACATTTGTTATTTTATTTTGAAGCTTTCTTCTTTATGAATTAATTTATTGTCAATAGCAGAATGATAACCATAATGATTACTATGGGAAAGAAACATACAAAAAGAAACCCACCTAAGCAGCTTGTGACAACCTAAAACTTCAAGACAAACACATGAAACAAGCTGGAAACTCCTTTTTTTAAACTCTACATGGTTGTTATTTTGCTGACTGAGAGTTCATCCTGCTTTAAGGTGCCATCTGTCTGGTTATGACTGAAAAGTGGTTAAACTCAATGTTTTAGTCTTGCTAGCAGCATGGCTCTATGGAGGGGAACGTTGGTCTGTTGGGAGGTCGTCCACTGCGGTCAAGTATTGGATGGATTGGCGTGACATTTTGTACATTCATGGTTCACGGGACTTTTCTTCTAACGCCACAAGTAGGTGGAAAGTGTTAGTGAGATATCTCGACAAATATTGGATGCCATGAAAATCCGTATTGATATTTATGGTGCCCAGAGGATGAATTTTACCGGGTTTCAATAAGAGTCCGTAAGACTTTAAAAAGATCAAATAGGCTAGGCCTGTCCTGTATTCTCTAATGAAGCATCACGCTTTTAACCCGTTAACATGGGCGCCGAATCTAAAAACAAGAGGCTCTGCAACGTGCATGCTCTGCTCCCACAGACGGTGTGTCCCGGGCATCAGAGCTGCTAGCGTGGCTGTAGGCTCTTCTTCTTCGATCAAGTTCTCATTACTGAAACTGGTTTACGGACATCCAAAGCTCTTGATTTACACACAAGCTTTCTCATCTGACCCCTGTTTAACAGTGGGTGGTGTTGTTGTTGGTCACTGCGTTTATAATCAGTATGTTTATTCGACTTTGAGAATAATTGATAGGGGCTTGAGAACGATGAGCTCCTGAATCAATAATATATGAGGTAAAGTGAGTTTTTATGAGCTCGTACTTCACTATAATACCGGTTGTATTGAGCTTCATTACGTTAGCGGGGGGAGGTTTGGTTGCAACCACAGGTTTGAACAATCCTAGGCCGGCAGTGCTACATCTGAACCCAATGTTTAAGATGGAGTTAAAACAGAATGGGGGCAGAATGGAGGAGGTTAGTTTCAGCTTGTGTACAGAAGGAGAAGTGATGAGTTTCTCACCGATTCAGCGATGGTGTGTGTCTGGTATCTCATCTGCATTTCAAGTGGCCTTCAAGTTATCAGCCTGCCACATCTTGAATTGACACGACGATAACGTCATCACGGCTGTGGAACTGATGTCTATCTGGAAATGTTTAGAGAAGGCTGTACTGCCATGTTGGAAGAATGACAACAAAGAAGAGATGGCGATGTTGTTAACATAGTCTCCTGGCATAAACATAACACTACTGCGGTGGTAGATTGTTCAGAAGGAGATAATAGGAATGTAAACTGACGTCTGTGATCCTACAGGTGTTCTCAGGGAGCAGCCGGACAGACGGCCGCAGGGTCTGGTGTGAAAAACGGCGTGGTAACTGTTGGTAACCACTCTCTGGACAATTACAAGCGCTGTGTCGGCGTTTCTGTCTTCCTGGAGGTGTCTGTGTTTGTCACTTTAGTTGGAAGTTTGTTTAACCTCTGTTAGTGTTGGGGACACTTTTGTGGGCTGTGATTGACATGGTGGACAGAAGTGTACCGTACATTGTGCTGCACTGGACTGAGGAAACGTGAAATAATGCTGACTTTTGTCTGTGCAGGTTGTGCATGATCTGAATGCAGCTTTTTGTTCCTTTTTCTTCTTTTTCAGTGCTTAGAAATGTTCTAGGTGTTTTGTGTGTAGTCTTTTTTCCTAGTTAATTGTAGGGCTGCAACAGTTTCCTTATTATTGAGTAATATGTTTATTTATGTCTACGAAGAATCAACAAGTCATGTAAAATGTCGAAAAATAGTGAAACATTTCCCAGAAGCCAAAAAATCTAAACGTTTTGTTGATTTTTATTTTTAAATCTTTGCAACTTTTTTATTATCGATTAAGTTAGTTTTGAGTCATTTTTTAAGAAACAATATCTGCATCTCAGGTGTGAATATTTTCTGCTTTCTATATTCCTGACTGACATTACACTGAAGATCTTTGGGTTGTGGACAGAACAAGACATTTGAGGATGTCACCTTGGGCTTTAGGAAACAGTGTTCAACATTTGTCACCATTTTCTGGACCATCAACTAATCTAATAATTGAGAAAATGATTGACCGATGAATAGATAATGAAAATAGTGGTTAGCTGCAGCCCTAATTCAGTG